TTTTTTTTTTTTTTTTTTTTTTTTTTTTTTTTTTTTTTTTTTTTTTTTTGGATTTTCGGATAATATTAGCGCTGGATTATCCGGCCAGATAATCGGACCAGAGTATCCGGTCGGATAATCCATTCTACTTAGAAAGAAACAGAAGGTGTCATTTTTTTAGCAGAGACGTTCATCAAATCCGAGTTTGGCACGAACAGGTCGGCAATATATTCTTCGGATTAGAATTCAGCTCTTTGGTCCAGTAGTTATGGGTTACTTCTACTTACTACTATAGCACTCTCTTCTTTTTCTTTTTCGTTTCTTACGTGTAGTGGCCCTAGGGGCCACACTCCACAAGTCACCAATTGCTCAAAAGACAAAACATATGGTCACCGTGGTGTATGGTTTCATGTTCTAGTAGAAAATTCATTTTCAGTTTGCACATTTGGTGAGTACTGGAGGGAAACCCTAAAAATCTCGTGATGAGTTGATAAGTTGGTAACCTATAATTGTTTAAACACGAACCTGCAGTTGATCTACATTATATATAATTGGCATGATGCTTCCCTACTACCATAAGCCCAACGCGTACCTCTTTCTTGGCAATGGAACCCTTCCTAATTATTTGCAGGCGTCTTTCGAACTACCCGCATGTTTTTTTTAAACTTTTTTTAGTTATGTGAAAGAGTTTTTTCGAATCTTTGTTCTCTCTCTCTCTCTCTCTCTCTCTCTCTCCATCTCGTATATACACACATTTCGAAAGTTTTTTTTTTTTTTCTTCTCAGTATCAGCAATGAGCGCATCATGCTGTGCACACAACACATATGTGCCGCAAGTATGCAATATATATATATATATAATATTATATGTTGTGTAGCATCGTGTTCGGGTTCAGTGACCGAACCCGAACGTTCGCGCGAACTAGCGTCAAAACCCCCCGAACAGGAACATAAAAAATATTAAAAGAAAAAAGAAAAGTTTTCAGAGAAATCCGAAAACAATAAGGGTTATGTAAAATAATAAAACAAACAACTTGTGCCTTGGGGGTATGCTCAAATTCGTAACCAAACTCGAGTTGAAAATCAAAAACCAAAATAATGTTTTTTTTTTTTTAATATGTTCGGCCGAACACATTTGGGGGGCGTTCAGCCGAGCACCCGAACATGTTCCGACGTTCCGAAAAGCTCAGAACATGTTCGGTGTGCTACACAAATTATATGTATATATGTTTGTCGATATCTATATATATAATATATCACAATTTGTGTGTACATTAAACATTTATTTTTAATTACATATTTCAATAAGTTTGTCATACTCCGTACATATGTGTGAGTGCACGTGTGTTGTGAGAGTGTTGTGTGTGAGTCACTGTATGTGTGTGTGTTTGTGTACTCACGATAAGTGACAATGTTCACACATCAATAGTTGAAAAAATTACGGACTTTTGTCTTTTTTAGTATTGTTTCTTCATTTTCTTATAAGACAAATAATAGATGTGTGCATAAATTTATTTGGATATTTGCTCTCTCCATCATGATCAGTCAAATGGGATAGAGTGTGAAGTTTGGCTGCAAAGTGTGACAACCACTAAAAAAAAAGAGAAAAATAATATGGATTATGGATCGGGGCTAAGAAAGAAGGTGAGCATTTTTATGTTTGGTCTGTAATAAAGCTATGGTGAAAAGTACAACCCACCTGATCACACGTGGCAGGCTCGTGTGCTGTCTCACGACAATTCCAGCAAACCATGTGGCCACAACTGCACCTCGCAACAAGTCGTGTAGCAAGCTTCACCGCCTTACTGCTGCTTGAAGCCACCACATCCTTTCGATACAATGCTTTCTTGCAATCAGGACTTGGGCACCATGTTAGCTGCACAATGCAAACAACACCCAGACAAACAATAAAGTTCAATAGTCATTTCTAAGCATTGTCTTTTTGCTTTCTTTCTTTGTGTCACCTCTCGACCTTTTTTCGAAACATATTTTCGTTTCCGGAGTGCTCATGAAACCTACCTCAGCCACCCAACCAATGTGGCTGAATTCTACAACCATGAACTTTCATAAACGGGTGAGTAACAAAAAACTTCGGATTACTTTGGGTCATTCATATCAATGTTGTTACCTTAAGGTTGTCATTCGTTGAAGAAACGCGTTTCAAACTAAAAAAATGCAGTTATATAAAAATGCAGGTTACACTGGTTCAGCCATGAGATACACACACTATACCATGCATACATAGGGTAACTTATGTGGCAGTGAACTTAAGTAAAGAGTACAAAGTACAATCGAAAGTACAAAGAGTACAACAACTGTACAAAGTACGACATGCATATAGATTGCAATTGGACGGCGGGTTATGACACCCTAACTGGTTTTGACCGCCACCACGCGATCATCCTCATGGGGAAACTCCACCACTCTTCCCCCATAGTCCACCATGCCCATCATTCCGCTAACCCACCTCCTCCATGATTAACCCAACGCACATCTCGAGATATGTTTTCGGGTATGTCGGCATTGGATACGGAAAGGCCGAAGGTTATACATTCAAGATTCATATAATCGCAACATTCGAATATTGTCCAAACCTAAGCGACAAAATCGAAAAGCCAAAGAGGAATTCAGTTGCAGTCGAAGGTTCAAGAGTCAGTACAAACTTCAGGTACTTCTAAAAACAGAAGCGCATAAAGTCAAAACTGGAGATCCCAAGGCCGGATTCACAACTTCGGTACCGTGCGGAACTCTACTAGATCTAGCACTGCCACCTTGACGTAAAAATAGAGAAAAAGTATCTCAGTTTGAATCTCAGATCTACTTCAGTCCCAAAAACTTAGTGGCAAATAGTTTACGAAAAATCAGACCTTTGTCGAAGGCATCTAAGTTGCATATGATCTATGGTCATGTAACCAAACAACTAGCTGCAAAAGGGAACCCTTAGGCTATCCTAACTTCGGTACCGTGCGGAACTCTATCAGATCTTGAACTGCCATAAATGAATACCCCGACGTAAAAATAGAGAACAAGTACCCTAGTTCGAATCCCGTATTTCCTTAGGTCCCAAAAAACTTGCGGCAAACACTCAACGAAAAGACATACCTATTTTCGAGGTCAGCGATAATACAACATCGTCACACCTGATTTATTATCATCTAATCGAATATAGGTAACTGCAAAATGACACCCTATCTTAACATATCCCAGTTATTCTACATGAAAGTTTCATCAACTTTCATGTAGAATAACTAGGATACGTTAAGATAGGGTGTAATTCACCCTGTTTTTAACCTCAAAAGTCACACAAAATCTACCATCATCCTACTAAAGAACTATAAAAAAGTGAAATGAAATGAAAACACACCATGTCCCCACATATAATTCGTCACACTGGGAAACAACTCAAACACATCATGGAACAATCACAAAGACTAAGTTGAACACAGAGTTAACATATAAAGTCCGTCATTCGACTAGAGACTTCAATAAGTCAGCAGACGACATATCATTGTGCTCGGGGGAAAAAAAACAGACATCGGGCATGTACATTCACGCTGGTCCAGAACTAAATGTTGCCCCATCACAACAATGTCATCTTACGAAATTCAAACCAGTCAATTCATCATAGTGCTCCATATGATCATATCCAATCTCCCCCTTTTGCAAAGCGTTGCAGAACCCGCTCCAAGAAATGGGTCGGAAGATTTTTCATCTGCAATTACTGACGCAAGCTTAACATTCTTATTAGGATTTACGATCACATGTTGATATTTCAAGTATCGATTATGTGCATGCTACTAGTGATCCCCGTGCTTCTTTGGTGCTTTGTTGCCTCTTGATTGATAAAACTGGCATTTCTTAAATTTTAAAACCTCACCTATCTGGATCATGCGCTCATTCTTCGCTAGTTAGTAACAACCAACATACGGCTGAATCGGGTTAGTAATGTTTATCTGCATCCCTTGAATGTGTCAATAGCAAATGACAGGACTCATCATTTGTCATTTTCAAATCTAAGTTTTTAGGGTAACACTGCTCAAATCGTAGGTTAATCTCCTTCATCGTCAACGTGCTTCATCTTCGATCTTACACGATTAGGCTCACGTCATCCATGAGTCAAATATTATACACGTCATGTCTCGCTTTCCCCAAACTCCCCCCAAAAGCGGAATTATGCATAAGTGCACATGATACCTGCAAGTGAGGGGCTCATACTATTCCCCATTGAAATCTACACCACCTCCCTCAGCAACATCCTCGTTGCTCGAAAAAACGTGAACTAGAGTTCAAAATGAACAAAATGTTTCACATATTGAAGATCCACTGCACGCAAATAATTATCGTTAGAGGTACAACCAAACATATTATTTTCCCCACGTGTATTTGCATGCATCGATTCTCGTCCCTTGCTTAGGTGGTAATCGACAACCCGATCGACTGCGTACACAATATCAACATGTGGTAATTTGTTGATCATGTATTTGATGTCATAAGACATAAAAAACAATTGTAAACTTGTACTTACTCTCTCACCAATCTTTATATTAGTCTGATTCAAGCAAGGAACAAATAACACTATTGACTTCAAATTGAAATTTTAATCATTTGGCAGTGTGAACAATAGGTGATAAAACACCTTAGCAACAACTTTACATGTTTTTAGAGCAGGGTCCAGGAAGTGTTGAACATATTAGCCGGTAGTGGGTCGGATCCTTTTATATTTAAGAATTATATACACTTTGTCAATCTTGCGTTCTTATCCCATCGCACAAACTGAACCAGATCTGATTCTTTAGCTTCAACCTTCATGACCTATTTCACATCCCCATCCATAGAATCAGCCATGACATAAGCCCAACTTCCTACAAACGGATTCATCATAGCCTCATAATATACCTTCAGGTAAATCACCGTAGTCTCGCCTGGATTTTTGTACTAAGTTGTCAGGACCAATCCATTTAATATTGGCCTCTCCACACGTGGTTAATGGGGGACCCCCAGTTTCAGCTCATGAGTAACCGATCAAAAACTGAAATTAGGGTTTGGGGGTGAAATTTTATGTTTTTTCTTTTGCCTGTTTTTGTCTTACTTCAAGGTTATTATGTACAGAATTTGATCTCATTTGGAGCATTGGAATTTCGTCTGATAACACCGAGTCCAAATTCGCTGAAAATTATGAAAACTCACTAAATCCAAAATATCATTCAAGTGCATTTTTGCCTTACTGTTTCACCCTGTTTTTATTTTTATTTTTTTCGTTTTTTTAATTTTTTTTGTTAATATGGTTTGCACTCTATGGAATGATGCAAGTTTTGGTTTAAAGGGTTTTTGGTTTTCTTATAAATAGCATAAAAAAAACGCTGAAATTTTGGGTTTTTATTAACCGCCTCTCCTAATCTTCGCTTCAAACTCTCCACCTTACTCACGTCCGGGAACATCGCCTCATGGTCTGGTTTTACTGTCAAATATCGGGTTATTTGTCGATCCTATTTAGCTCAGGCGCCGATCCTTTGAAGTTAGCCCATCATTGCAATCCGCAAACAATCTCCTGAGTCGACAACTTATTTTTATCCGGATTAGCAAGCTTATTTACGCTATTTGCATTCTAGATTAAAGGATGACATCATCCAATATCTACAATCTGAATTGCAAGTGTCCACCTATTTGGGATAGAGAAAACCCTCACACGAGCAAGTTGATACATCAGCCTAAGCGTAGTCACGCTGATTGTGTAAGAGGTCGACCACTAACGATTTTTTCACCCATACGATGCGCACCTCATTTCATGCAACATTCTTCATGCAGATTGGTAACTCCATCCCCTCGATTTGATCGTTTAGCGTCTTCCTCACTTCCACAATCCTTACTCTATCATCAAACTTTTGGTGGACCGTCAATCGGTTGATGAAGCAACCAAGGACAAAATGGATGCCCTTGGAGGCACACATTCGGGTTCTTGGGCAAGCCAACAAGAAGTAACGATTAGCTCTGAAAACTGCCCGTAGACAAAATGCAAGGCTCGAATAACAAGCCTACCTCACTTTCTAACAGGGCACTGGTGATTAATAACGTGACACTAGCCTCCTTCTGGTACAAATCGGTCATCCGGGCATTGAGCAAACATACCATCAAGCAAATTAAACAACAATTTAGTTATTTAAAGCCTTCTTATGGTGTGGCGACCCTGATCAACCTAATGTCACAAGTAGGGTGGCATGGGATTCCTTGATCCAACCCAAAACTAAGTGAGGGTTGGGAACAGGGAGACATGAGAGACAACGTGCTGGCGTGGCGAATATGGTACATCATCAACCGAAGACATTGATCCATGTAAAAGTACAAATGGATGAAACAAGTTAGTTGAGTGTTAATGTCTTTGAAGTCCTCGCTACCCAAGAGTCGTCCAAGTGTTGAAATTTTTCGCTATTCTTGAGCTAAGGGAGTTGCTGATGTGGAATAAATTTGGTAAGAACAACTTTTGGCGATTCCGATGTGAAGGTCGACGAACAGCGATCAAAGCTTAGGAAATGTAAATTAGCTTTGGAGAGGGGAGCAGTTGAGTTTTGTCACATGTGGAGATGAAAACCAAAGACGTCCATGAATGATCAATTTTTGGTATTTGTGTTACGTAACCCTCGTCGTGTTGAAGCTTTATGACACTGTAGCTTGAGGCCTTAGTTTGATCGAATGGAGTTACTAAGGACTTTCAGAAGCCATCAACTAGAGCATATCTCGGACGATTCATTGTACGGATAATCAAGGATGTAGTTGAATGGAGTCTGAGCAGTGGATCCACCGTCCATGGGTCTTGCTTCCCAAGTTAACTACCATGTCTGAGACGACCATAAATCTATCGATGAGTCTGCCAAGCCCCTC